TCCTTGCAGACACCTCTCCTTCCCGTTAGCATTTCCCGCAGAAGCCCCTTCCCAGCCTTAGCACTTCCTGAGACCTACCTGCCGACCTTAGCACTTCCTGCATCTCCTGCCCCAGCCTCAGCACCACTGGCAGAGCTTTCATCCACCACCACCGCCCGCACCCCCAGCCTCAGTGGTCCATGCAGACCTCCGACCTCATTTCTGCCGGCCCTCACTTTTCTCCCAGGCCTGCTCGCTATTTCCAGAACCCCCGGAAGCAGCGCCTTTATTACTGACTTCCCTACGCCGGCAGCTGCAGCCTCTCCCTGCTCCAGACACCCTTGAGCTGTCTGCAGGCACCTTCTCTGCCCCCACCCTCCCTCGCAGAGCTCCTCCATGCTGAGCCTTCACGCTGAATCTCGCTTTTTAGTCCTCCAGGCTTCACAAATACACTCCCACGCTGCCTGTTCCCCCGACAGGGACTTCCTGGGACCCTTGTCCCATCTTCATCCTCACCCCTGACCTTCTTCCCCCAGGGACCTATGGAACAGTATTCAAGGCCAAAAACCGGGAGACCCATGAGATCGTGGCTCTGAAGCGGGTGAGGTTGGACGATGATGATGAGGTAGGACTGGAACCTCAGGGCCAGGGAGGGGGTTGAGGGCCCAGGCTGGGTGGGATGTGACTGTTGCCCGCCCGGCCCCCTCCCATGTGTAGGGAGTGCCGAGTTCAGCCCTTCGGGAAATCTGCCTACTCAAAGAGCTGAAGCACAAGAACATCGTCAGGTGTGTAGCTGGGCAGGGTCCTCCTTGCCTGTGTGGTCACTTGGAGGAGGGGGGCTTCAGAGAGGGGCTGGGCCGATACTGGGATCAGGGTTGGGCTGAAATAGGGACTTGAGGCTGACATTTGCAGACCTGCCTGGCTGAGTCCTTCCTCCTTCCTAGGCTTCATGACGTCTTGCATAGCGACAAGAAGCTGACTTTGGTTTTTGAGTTCTGTGACCAGGTGAAAGGGGGATTCGGGGGACAGTAGCCTTGGGAGGGTACAGGGGCCCAGACTGAGGTTAAACTCTGTCCCGTTCCCCACCCCCACCCCTTTCTAGGACCTTAAGAAGTATTTCGACAGCTGTAATGGTGACCTGGATCCTGAAATTGTGAAGGTGAGGGGCTGGTGTCTGGGAGACTCAGGGAGGCGGGGTAGGAGTCTGTCTTCAGTCTACACACTCTGAGCACCAAGTTCAGGCCCTGAGCGGGGATAGGCTGGAGTGTCTATTTCTGTCTATTTCTGTCCTCCAGGAGCCTCCCTATTTGCAAGCATCTTCACATGGTCTCTTTGATCTGACAGTAATACTCTGCTATCAGTGATGTGATTTGCACTTGAGAGATGAGAAGATGAGATTCAAAGAGATTCATTCATTCATTCAGAAAATACCTATTGGATTCTTTGCTTTGTGCCAGGCACTGTTCTAGGCCCAAGACCAAGTGCCTTGTCCCAGGTTCCAGGGGAAGTAGTGCTGATTAATAATAGAGCATAATATATATACTGATGGCTCCGGGGTGTGTGCTTACTCGAGGCCATGTAGGGGAGAGATCAGTGCGGGAAGGTAGGAAGGCCCACTAGGCTGTAAGTTCCAGAAAGATTCGGATCAGGGCCCCTGTGCACTGTTCACTTATTAATACCTAGCCCAGTACAAAGCAGGTCCTCTATCATCGCTGAAAGATGGGTGGGGTTTTGAGACAAAGCAGAGGTGAAGAAGGGAGCATGGCCCATCGAGGGGGGAGGGCAGCTTCCTATCCAGAAGGTGTGATGCCCTCCCCTCCTCCTCCCTCCCCACCCAGTCATTCCTCTTCCAGCTGCTGAAAGGCCTGGGATTCTGTCACAGTCGCAACGTGCTGCACAGGGACCTGAAGCCCCAGAACCTGCTCATAAACAGGGTACCTTCTGGGGAGAAGGTGGGAGATGGGGCAGGCTCAAGTCACAAGTGATGAGGGGAGCCATGCCGGGAGGCGCAGGCAGGAGGCCTGCCCTGAGACTGTTGCAAACCCCTCTCCCTCTCCCTGTCCCATCCCCACCCCCAGAATGGGGAGCTGAAATTGGCTGATTTTGGCTTGGCTCGAGCCTTCGGGATCCCTGTCCGCTGTTACTCAGCCGAGGTGAGCTGGGGGTGTGGGGTGTGGGATATGGGTTTGGGGGTGGGGATCCCCTCCGAGCAGACCACCTTCATCCCCTTCTCCAGGACCCAAAACATTATTCTGCCCCATCCCCTGCCCCTCGCTGAGCCCCGCCTCCCCAGTCCTCTCAGCAGGGGGTCGCTGTGGGTGGGGTCTTCTCCAGGTGGTCACGCTGTGGTACCGCCCACCGGATGTCCTCTTTGGGGCCAAGCTGTACTCCACATCCATCGACATGTGGTCAGCCGGCTGCATTTTCGCAGGTGACACACTGGGGGTCTGCAGAGCTGCTTCCTCTCCCAGTCACGTGGACAGATAGGGTCCGGAGTGTCTCCTTTGGGGAAGGGAGTGAGGCCCTTGGGGATGGGGCTAGAAGGCACAGAGGGCACCATGGGAAAGAGGGCTTCTTCGCATGTCTCCTTCTTTCACACCTGCTCCTCTCCCAGAGCTGGCCAATGCGGGGCGGCCGCTTTTCCCTGGCAATGACGTAGATGACCAGTTGAAGAGAATCTTCCGATATCCTTTGACATTTCCCTTCCCCTCGAGCTCTCTAAAGGAGAGTGAGCGGGGGAAGGCACCTGGCCGGCTCCATCAGTAGAGGATGTAACTCTTGATCTCAGGGGTCATGAGTTTGAGCCCAACGTTGGGCCTAGAGTTTATTTAAAAAAAAAAAAAAAAAAAAGGAAGGAGAGTCAGGAGCTCCTGGAGCTCCAGAGTGCAGGGAGTGAGGGTGGCGATGGGCTGGGCCAGGAGAGGGTGTGGCTCTGGGTGAGGGGATGGAGGGCAGAGGGCTGACACCCTGATGTTCTCAGGGCTGATTGAAGCCAAGAGCATGCTCCTCCAGCTGAGAAGTGAATCCTTGGGACAAAGGACCCCAAAGCAGCCACAGGATTATTTGTGGGCAGAGGAGGGGGTGACTGGGTCATCAGGAGCAGACATCAGGGTTGAGGTCAGAGTATGAACGTGTGAAAAGTGCCTGGCACGCCATCTCTGTCCTGAGCAATGGGATAAAATGAGGGGACTGGGGATGGGTATGTGAGGGACCCCCCTACCAGGAGGGGAAGAGCCCCTCACCTGCCTCTTTCCACCTGAGTGACCCTTGACCACATGGACACACTTCTGGGGACACCGACTGAGGAGCAGTGGCCTGCCATGACCAAGCTGCCAGACTACAAGGTGGGATGGGAGATGGGGGTGGGGGGACCTCTTTACTCCACAGCTGTAGCAACTCCATGCCCCCATACCTCTGGTTTGACTCTCCCTGCCCCCCCTCCCCAGCCCTACCCGATGTACCCGGCCACAACGTCCCTGGTGAATGTCGTGCCCAAGCTCAATGCCACGGGGAGGGATCTGCTACAGGTGACCGAGGGCAAGGGTAGAGGGTGGGGTCCACAGACATTTGTGGGTGGTGGAGGGGAAGGTTGGGGGGGAGGGGGCTACAGGCGGTTAACCCAGCCCGAACCCGCCGCGCCTTTCTTCCGTGCCTTCAGAACCTCCTGAAGTGTAACCCCGTCCAGCGCATCTCAGCAGAAGAGGCCCTGCAGCACCCCTACTTCTCCGACTTCTGCCCCCCGTAGGTGCCAGGACCTTGGCCAGGCTGGGGCCTGGCCAGTTGCAGCCTCCTCCCGGGAGGGGAGGAAAAGCAGGGGAGGCACGGTGTGCTGAGCTCCAGCTGTGCTGGGCCTGGCCGGGGTGGCAGTGCTCTGGCCCGTGTTTGTCACTCCCTCCATGGACTTTATTTAATTTCATAAATTGGCTCCTTTCCCACAGTCTGGCTGATGTGGTGGTAGAGTGGCTCCGAGGGGGGCGGGCTGGGGCCGGGGTCTCTGCTCTGCCTTAGCGCCCTGCTCTCTACAGCCCTGCTCCCAGCTCAGACCCAGCCCCGCTGTCCAATCCTAACTCCACTGCCCGAAGTGTCCTGAGACCGGGTGCTGGAGGCTCTGCCCCCACCCCGATGGCTGGGCTCGGGGGCAGCAGCACCCCTGCTCTGGTGCTTATGCTGACACCTTCCCCCCTTGCTCCCTCTGCCCAGAAGCGCTAGTCCTGAGGGGGTAGGCAGCCAGTGTCAGAGCAAGGATGGGTTCCCACCAGAATGGGCAAAAGAGGACCGGGCCTTTCCCTCATGGTTCTCCCTATCCCACCTGTACATTCCCCAGCCCTCCCTTTTTCATTGCCACCCCCCTTCCCCCCCGCCGATCCCCAGGGCTTTAGGCTGGGACAGGAGAGTTCCAGAGATGTGGTGAGATTAGGAACCCCCCTTCCCCAGTCCCCAGTTTCCCATATTTGGGATATAGAGAAAGAACAGGGACAGTGGGCAGTAGTGAGGTGCATTCTTACTGGCAGGAGTGGGAAGGGAGGGTTAAGGTTAGGGGGAACAGCTGGGGGGACAGCTGTTCCCATGGAGACGGGTGGTGTGCTGGCCCTTGGTCCCAGATATGAGAAAAGAGGCCTGATCTTGCCAGCAGGACAGCAGCTTGTGTTCCTGGAAGTAGGTAGTTCCTCCCGTCCTCTCCCTGCCTGCTCCCCCTACTTCTCACCAGACTCTGCGGCAGAGCCTTCTTCCAGCCGTTCTCCAACATAACTGCCTGCTCCCTGACTCCTCTCTGACTTGACACCTGGCTTTGGGCTCACTGTCTCAGATGTCATTCTGATGAGCCCATTCACACGGAGCTGCAAATGACAGGTGCCATCTTATCACTCTTCTCCCAGAGAGATTTGCGGTGGTGGACTGCCACTCACCTGCATCTCAGACACTGCCCACTGGATGCTGGCTGGCAGAGGTCTTCTTGGGCCTGAGTAGGGCTGACAATTGGCCTGACTTGTCTGCCGTAAGAGAACCAGCGAGGCTGAGGCACTAGAACTTTATTTGGGGTGAAGACGGCAGAGACATGAGCAGGCAGGGCCCGTCCTGGATGTGAGGGTGCAGCCCTGAAGACACAGACAGCAGGTCTAGAGCCGTGTGACGAGGTAGCAGGTGCGGTGGGAGGCAGACAGAGTCTTGGTGACAGCACAGGGAGGAGTGGGAGGCCTGGTGGGACCCAGACCACAGCGCTGGGACAGGAGGCCTTGTACCCACTGCCTTGCCCTCCTGAACCTGAATGGCACCCTCTAGATGGGACCTGCCCCTCCTCCCTTGAAATAGGGGGCCATTTCTTGTTACCTGGGGCCCAGGCTGAGGTGGGGACCTTGGGTTCGGTGGCTGCCCAGCCCTTCCTGAAGCTGTGGGAGGAGGGAAAGTGTCAGAGGTGGGGAGGAGTCCTCCCTCCCAGGACCAGCCGAGGTCACTGCACGCTCCTCCCCCACCATTCTTTCCTCAGCTGGGTGGGGATGGTGTTCTAGGCTTCAGGGGAAGGGCTGAGCGCCCATGTTGGAGATGACAAAGAAGAAGGGATAGTTACCAGATTGGTGCTAGAATGCCTTTGGGAGTGCTTTCGGTTCCAGAAGTATCCCAGGACCCTGTCCCGGAACACCTAGGGGCAAGCAGTGGGGGAAGTGGCCAGTGCACACCTTGCTCCAGGTCCTGTGGCCTGATTCCTTTCCCCTCCCCCAGCTGGGGCTCAGGCCCACCTCACAGAGGTAGTCCAGGATCTCAAGGATGGTGAGCAGGCTGGCTCCGATGAACAGCCCCATCTGGCCCCCAATGTCACCTGCGGAGCCCAGGTTACCCATCAGCTCACAGCCACCTGCCCTGCCCACACCTCCCCAGACTCCTGGGTGCCCTGTGTGGGCCCCAGCGCGGACGCACACACCAAGCAGTTCCGACACGTCGTAGGCCTTCTTCTGCTCCACTGTCTCATAGTTGAGGGCCTCGAAGAAGATGTCCAGCACCAGCACGTTCTCTCTGGAGGAAAAGAGGGCAGGAAAGCTCTTTGGACACCCGCTGGTGCCGGCTGCTAGGAGGAAACAGGTGTGCGACCTGCTTCCTGTCTGGGACTCCTTTAAGAGCCCTGGGACCGGCGTCATGGACCCCGTTTGCAGGAGAGACGGTGTCAGAAGGTTAAACAGTTGGCCCAGAGGCCCAGGAGCCCCGTGGTGAAGTGCACACTGGTGTGCCACCCGCGTGTGTGCACGAAGGCTCGCCCCCCCCGCCGGCCCGGCTCACGCGATGTAGGCCTCGCTGCGGTTGTGTTTCCGGGCCAGGAAGCGGGCGGAGGCGCGGCTCGGGATCCGCACCATGGAGAGCTCCTTGGCGTAGCGCGTGCTGGCGCACGGGTTGGGGCAGGTGCACGCGTCCTTCCGCAGCATGGCGTCTAGGGACCACAGTCGCCTGGGTCAGGGCCACCCGCCCGGCAGGGTCTGGGTCGCGGGCGGAGCGGAGCAGGGGCGGGGCTGACGGAGAAGTTCTCGCCTTACCGAGCGCCGGGTTGGCGCAGTCCTTGTACTGCTGGGGACTGCACACTGGCGCGCCGCCTTGGGGTGGTCGGGGAGGAGACGGGGGAGGAGACAGCTTCACCAACTGCCCCCCTCTAGGCCCCTTTGCCCCGACCCGACCCGGAACCCCCTCCTCCGCCCCCACCAGCCCCTTACCAGGCATATGCATCATTCGGCAGCCGCACTTCCGAGCCACATAGCGCGTCTCACAGGCTAGACGACACCCCATTAGACTATAGGGAGAGTGGGGGCCTGGGCTGGGGCTGGGGGGACCCAGGGGATCCGAAGGTTCCAGCTCAAAGTCGGAGTCCAGAGATGCGGAGCTGCAGTCGCCCCACGGTGGTGGCAGGAAGCTCAGCTGTAGTTGGTTAAGGAAGCACCAGGTACAATGTGGGGGTCACCTTGCTGGTGCGCAGAGGGGTGGGGAACCCCCTGACCCTCTGAGGTGCTGTGGGCGGAGGAGGGGCTTGGGGGCCTTGGCGGGGTGGAGGTAGGGATACTTGCTGCTGCTGGCAGGACACAAAGGTCTGGTAGCCAGGGGCTGCCCCGAAACCCAGCTGGTCGATGGTGGGCGGCTCCTCCTGGCTGTGAATCTGCACTCGGATCCCCACCTCAAACGGGGTCTCCTCTGCAGGGGAAAGGGGACCCTGAGGCCTGTGTCTCAGGACACCCCCTGCTTCAGTCCTCCCTCCCCAGGATTGTGACCCACCAACCCTGGCCCCTTTTCATGGGAAAGAATGTGCTCTGGGGCCCTTCCTAGTGCCTCCTCTCCCTCCCAGAGCCTTTCGTACCCCAACTGCGCCACGCTTCCAGCCTGACCCATGGGCCCCATACCCATGTCCCTCCACACGGGCAGATACTCATCCTGTTGCACATCCAGCATGATCTCCAACCCGTTGCCCATGCCGCCCTTGGGAGTGGTGAGAAGCTCTGCCCCGTCGGCGCCGGAATTAAAGGTGTAGCACTGACCCATCCGGGTGAAGATCTGTGGGTGAGCAGATACGGGACAGACCTCACCAGCATACAAGGAGCCCAGCCAGCCCTTCCCCCCAGGCAAACATGAGAATGACGAGACCTCTCCTCTCCCTGCCCTCCATTTGGTCTCTTTGACCACTGAATCCACATCTCAACACCCCAGTTCGTCCCTCATACTGGCACATAGAGTGGGACCCTCATCGGTTCCCATCACTCCAGCCCCTCCTCCCCTTCCCCAGCCTCCCATTCCCCAGCCCAGTGCACAGCCTATGGGACAAGTGTTTCTTTGGAGAATGGCAAGAAAGGCAGTGCGTCTCGGTTGCCCTCCTCCAGAGCTAGCAGAACATTGGAGAGGTAGAGGGAAAACAAGCTGACTCCCCAGCACAGAGGGCTCTTCTGCCCTAGAGCAGTCCCACTAGATTCCCCCCAACCCCCAGGAGCAGGGTCTCCTCGGACCAGAACTTGGGCCTAGAGCCAGCCTGGGTGAGTGCCCTGTGCTGGGAGCCATGACCTTGCACACTGCGGTCCAGCTGAGTGACAGGGAGGGGACCCCAAGGAGCACAGTCTCCTGGGCTGAACAGAAACGCCCTGGTGGGATGGGGAGCTGAGGCCCGGCTGGAAAGGGAAGGATCCCTGGCATGGGTGTTAAGGTCCCTGGCCTTGGAGGAGCCTGGGCTAGCAAGACTGGGGATGCCGGGTCCCGGATGGACAGGGGCTAGCCGGGTGCCTGGCAGTGCCGGGCTCGTGACCAGCTCACCACGGTGAAGTTCTCAGGCCCGCACGGCCAACCTCGGTAGCGGCAATCCAGCAGCATGTCCTCCAGGCTATGCCCGGCCCTGGCGTACAGTCGAGCCACGTCGAAGGTGGAACTGGGCATGAAGCCGGGTGGTGCAGGGGGCTGGCCCAGGGCGCGCAGGAAGGCGGCATGGTCAGCGGGCTCCACACCCAGCAATGCAGGCCCAGCCCAGTGCAGGTCGTTGGGTGTGAGGCGCGAGCGGCGCAGCGGGTTGATGTTGCACAGGGTGACGGCGGGGAAGGTGAGCCGGTGACTTTCACGCTCGTCCAGGGCTGTCTCGTGGTGGAACTCCCCGTAGTAGCGCACCCTCTCAGCCACTTGGTAGAGGAAGGCGGCCAGTGACAGGAGCACGGCGGTGGCCCACAGCCCTCGGCGAGGCGTCAGGCCCCCGGGGCCAAAGATGTGGCCCAGCCCGTGCAGGGTGCAGCTGCTGGCGAACACGCGGATGTCCGAGGCCAGCCGCCGAGCCTCCTCTGGCCCGGGTTGGGGCTTCATGCCGAAGCCCGGGGCGGGGGACACTGAGAGGGCCGGGAAGTGGTGATCAGGCTGCAGGAGGAAAGAGGGTCAGTCTGAGGACCAGGAGGTGCTGAGAGGATTCGGGTAGCCAGGTGGGGGTCACTGCGGGTGAGGCGAGGGGAGGACAGGGAGGGGGAGAGGAGCCCAGACCGAGAGCTGAGGAGGCGCTGGTGCAGCAGGTTTGGCTCGATGGTCTCCAGGAGCAAGCTGGGGTTCCACGAGGCTCAGCGCCGGACTGGGGCTCCTGGGGCTCAGCGGGAGAGACCAGGTAGGGCGCAGCTGGTGTGGAAAGCAGGGGCTGCTGTGCTGGAGGCTGCTCTGCTGAGCTGGAGCTGCCGCAGAGGATTGGGTTACAGCAGTGTGGGGGCCGGGGGCCCGCGGAGCAGTCTGAGGGGCAGGGAAGGTCCCTGGGGGCCCAGGCTGAGCCATTAGTGCGGTGAGTTGGGGGGGGGGGTGCGGCCGTGGAGACCAGAGGCGCCAGCAGAAAACCGCAACAATCCCGGGTAAGGCTTGAAGGGATCCTAGAGAGAAGTTGGGGCTGGGGGTGCCTTAATGGCCCTTCAGACTCCCAGCTGCAGCCCTTATGGTTGGGTTGAGTGTCCGTTGCTGACCCTGGGCCCAGTCCCTCCTTCCTTTTGCTTCTCCTCCCTTCGCACTAACCTCACTCAAGATAATCTGTTCCTTTAGAGAGAGAGGAGCTGGCTCTTGACCAAGCTGGAAAGCGGTGGGAAGTTTGGCGCTGGCAGGCTCCTCTTTTTGAGCCCCCAGCAGGCCACACTGGACAGCCAGGCCTCTGCACATCCCATGCCCGGGGAGTGGTCTGTCTCCAGGGACCCTCTTCCCACCTCTCCATGCTGAGGCCCTCCTGGCTGAGAGGCTGGGCTCTGCCAATGTGGCTGTGGGCTCACCTGCCCCATCCAAGGCCTAACATGGATGCTTACCTGCCTCCCTCCAGGGAACACGGGTGCCCTATAATTTCACATCTTTTTTCACTTAAAAACATATTCTGCATGCCACATAATATCTAGTATCTGGAAAACTTCCCCTTTTTAAAAAATGGCTGTTTGGTTCCATTATGTGGATGTACCAATGTTCATCCAATCCTATCCCTACGATAAATACGGGGGTTTCCAATCTTCCACTGCAAACAATGGTGCTCTCAATAGCACTGCACAGACGTAAATTCCCAGAAATAGAACCACTGGGTCAAGAGGCAGCGGTATGGGTAGTTTGGTAGATACCACAAGGTTCCCCACTGCGGGAGTTCCGCACTCCCGTCAGAAACAGGGCAGGCAGTGTTTTGCAGTGGGGTGCTATTCTTTTTCTTTCCTTTCTTTTTTTTTTTTTTTTTTTGAAGAAGGCTCCATGCCTAGTGTGGGACTTGAACTCACAACCCTGAGATCAAGAGTTACACACTCTACCCGCTGAGCCAGTGAGGTGCCCTTGCCAGGGTTGGTTGGGGGGGGAGCTTTCCTAGAGGAAGAGATACCGTGTCCCTGATTCAGCTGGGGTGCCTTGGGCCTAGATGACCTGGTAATGCTGGCCTTGAGAGACCAGAGTGCGGCATCTGGTTGAAGACGCTGCAGATGGTCCGGGGGCGGGGGGTGATGGGCTGGGTGAGGGTTGGACTCCCAGCAGCTGGAACAGACGCCTCCAGAAAAGTAGAGCGGCCATCTGCAAGGTTAGGACCGACTGGCCTGCAGCAGGGGGCTGAGGGCCACAGGGGTCAGGCCAGACATCCCACGTAGAGCACAGCTGGGGCTGGTCATCATGAGTGTCGGCCCTGCATTTGGTTAAACGCTCACCTGCCTCCACGTATCTGAGAGCCGGGAGATGCTGCATCGTCGGCCTGAGAGAACAGGCGCTTATCTCCGATAATTTATTTACCGAAGCTTTTTTCTACTCCATCTTGTGGCACAAAACGTGTGAGGTTGCCAGGTTTACATTGTCGGGCTCCTGGCCGGGAGGGGAAGAAAGTTTGCCAGCTAACCACTATCACACCGTGCTGCCATCACCTGTCCTCCCGACAAGACCGCAGCTCCTCGGGGGCAGGGCCGTCCTCCTCCCCGTCACAGGCCAGCACACGCCATAGGTGCTTCATGAGCGCGTGATCTTGGAAGGAGGAAGTAGCTAAGTTTACTGTACGGATGTGACCAGCTTCTGAGGCTGTAGCATTGTCAGTCTGAAGTATTTTACCACAGATTATCCCGTTATCTTTTAAAGGATTTATTTGAGAGAGAGAGAGAGAGAGAGCGAGGTCATGCACACGCGCACGCACGAGTGGGGGGGGCAGAGGTAGAGGGAGAATCTCAAGCAGCCGCTGCCTGTGCTGACCGTGGAGCCCAACATGGGGCTCGATCCCAGGACCCCAAGATACACCTGAGCCGAAGCCAAGAATCAGACACGCAATCGACTGCGCCACCCCGGCGCCCCGCAGGTGACTCCATTTAGACTCTTAAACTCTTAGGATGAAGTACAGCAAGCATGTGACCCACGGCGGACAGTGGCAGGAGGCGAGGGCGAGGCTGAGGCCGCACGGCCTCCCAGCTCACCGCTCCCACAGATCGCACTATTTCCTTAGCTGGGCGGGGGAGGGTGCAGGCTTTGGACAGGCCTTCTGAAGACGTCAGAAGAAACCTGGAATTTTCTCGGGCGGCAGAGGCTGGAGCTGGTGGAGCAGGAGGAGCTCGCCTCTGCTGCCTCTCCCTCGAAGGAGGTGCGGGCTTGGCTACAGGGGCTGAGGCTGGCTCCGGGCTGTACTTACTAGGGAGGTGTTTGGTGGCAAAGCCACGCAGAGCCCACGCTCCGCTGCCTGGGCTGGGGCCACCCTGGCATGCGACCTCTCATCGGTAAGGAAGCAGGGCAGCACACCAGGGTCTAGCTGTGGCCCTAGGACATTTCAGGTGCTTTGTCCCCAGAGTAGCATCTGGTCCAAAACCACACCCGGAAGAGGCTGCAGGGACTGTCGGCCCCGGCTCTGCACACCTGAGCCACCAATATTCTCCCCTGATGGCCTCCAGTCGCAGCTGACTCTGCTTGTCCTGCATATCGAGGCTGCCACGGAAACATGGTGTTGTCCTGGATAGAGCCACAGGATAAATCCACCCGATTTTGTGTTTCATCGGCCTGGGGGCTAAGTTGTAACTTGTCCCTCACAGTTTGGTGACTCAGCACTGTATGACCCGTGTGGCTGGAGTTGAGGGTACATGTCGGCTCCTCCTTTGTGTCCCTCAGAGCAGGGTGTCCTCACAAAGAGGGGCTGTCCGCAATCTCATGGGCGACGAGTCAGGTGCATGGAGCCGGGGCCGTAGAAGACAGCCTGTAAGCTTCCAGCTCCTTGTGGAACAGACCATGCCATGCCCTGCCCTCCTACCCCTTTCCCGAGGGCCGGTGTCCCAACCCACCTGTTCTGTTGGATGGGGGTGTGGGGGGTGGGGATGAATTCTAGAAAAAGGACGTCTTAATGGAGTAGGAAGGAAAGGAAGTTGTTCTCAGAATGGGGACTGGGTTTGAGGGGCTGGTCCAAGGGGTGGGCTCCTTCTCCCACGGCTCAGAGAGGCAGTGGGGACAGAGGAGAGTGGGGAGTCAGGGTCCAGGAAGGTGAGGTCCTGGCATGGGTGTGGGCCACCCTAGTGTGAATTCCCATTCCCACTTCCTGAGCCTGATTTATAAAGATTCCCTGAAGCTGGGCCTGGACACCTTTAGGCTATCAGGTAGAGGGGAGACTTGGCAGGTTTTCTGAGGGGACGGGAGGGTCTGGGCAGAGGGAGGGAACAGAGCGGGGGCCTGGGGACTCTGCCTCCTCCTCTGTGATTTATGGCTCCAGCAGGAGGGACGCAGCCTGGTAGCAGGAGCAGGAGTGGATGGGAGCAGTCCCAACGTCCCCCACTTCAGTGCTAGGCCCAGGTCTCATTGTGAGTAGGGGAGAGCAGCCGCCTGGACCCCAGCACACTGGCCGTCCTGGGTGCTTGGTCCCTGGCAGCTCCTGGAGCTAAGCCTTGGCCCTGGGCACCAATGCTCGGCCGCGACCAGACCTCAGACAGCTGCCCTCAGGACTTGGGGTCGCAGTTCCTGGAGCCTCTGGGCATGTCAGGAGCTGGGGCATCCAGGGCCTGTCTCCGGATGAGCTCGGCATACAGCCCGCCTTTTGTCAGGAGCTCTTCATGGGTCCCCACCTGGAGAGAGGAAGGAGGGGGAGGTGATCACCCCAGCCCAGTTCAGAGCCCTAGGCGGGCTGGCTTCTTATTGGTCGTTGGGCTCACTGTCTCCTAAGCCAGTGTCCCTTCTGGGGACACTATGAACCCAAAGCACAGTTGGTTACAGATCGCCACTGGTAATTCTGTATTTGTTGGCGCCTCCTCTCTATTTAGCCGGATTTTGGAAGGGCATCTGAATCCTTCTATCTCTCTAACAGAGACTCCAGCTTGTAGTTGAACAAGCAGCTGGGTGCTAGGGGCCAGGCCCCATGCAGCCTCCCGGCCTCGCTGCAGAGCCAGGCTCTGGAGAGCTGCTCCTGGCCGGGCCCTGATCACGGTCCCTGGTGCTGCCTCTTCTGACCTCAGCCCCTAGGCCCTTCTATACTTCCCTGAGTCCTTTCCCTTTGGTCCAGGGAGACAGGAGGTAGCTCGACTATTCCCATGGGACAGAGGAAGAGAGACCTGAGAGACCAGGGCAGGAACTCCTGAATCCACACACGGTACTGCTTCCAGAATATGGCCCCAGGCCCCTGGGCCAGGCCACCCCCTCCCACAGCTCCGCTGAGCCACGAGTTCTACTCTGTCCACGGCGGAAGCTGTCCCAGCCCACCGCGCCGCTGCCTGGCCCCCCGCTGACCTCACAGACCCGGCCGTGGGCCATGACGACAATGTGGTGGGCTCCGCGCACGGTGCTGAGCCGGTGGGCGATGACGAGCACCGTGCGGCCGGCGCTGGCGCGGTCCAGGGCTTCCTGCACCACCCGCTCGGACTCTGAGTCCAGCGCGCTGGTCGCCTCATCCAGGATCAGCACCGCGGGCTGCTTGATGAGGGCGCGGGCGATGGCCAGGCGCTGCTTCTGGCCGCCAGACAGGGTTGCGCCCCGTTCACCTGGGGGGAAGGGGACAGGGCGAGGGCCTGAAGCGATCTTCACAAAGGGTCACTGGGGCCACCTGGAACGTCCCATCTGCCCTCCACCAACCCCCTCCCTGGCACTGTGCACACTTGTCCCGCCTCTGACGCCTTAGCATCCTGTCCCCATAACCTTGTGCAAATGCACGAACGCACTCACACCAGAGAGCGGGAGCTGCACGTGCGTGGGACTCAGTGTACCCCAGAGTCACCGCGTGCCCCTCCCACACCAGTGCAGGATCTCCGAGCTGGGCTGGGCCTGCTCTATTCTGGCCTGCTGGGTTTCCACCGCTGGGGGGACATCCAGGACCTGGATGTGGGCCCTGGAGTGGGGCGACGGCCTGCCATGGGGCATTCTGGGAAGACCACCCTTGGGGTCTACAATGTCCACAGGAAACAGCAGAGGTGACTGCCCAGAGCTAGAGAAAGCACCACGGTGACCGCGGTCAGAGAGCAGTGGGGGCAGACCGGAGTCGCAGACGGGCCTGGGAGCGTGCTGGGGTCGGAGGTACGTGGAAGGAGCCGCTCCAGACAGGTGTGGGGACAGCTCCTCCCCTCGGGGTGGTGTAGGATCTGAGCAGTGAGCAGAAACGGCTGGATCAGCCACAGCCCATGGACAACGGCTAAAGACGGGGCAGGAAGGGGGTGCCACTTCGCAGGTATGACGCTCAGCTAGACTGAGCCCTCGGCTCCAAGAAAAGCTGAAAACTCCAGCTGTGCCACACCTTGACGTGTGCTGGAACATTCCGCAACAGGGCCAAGACTCCGGATGAAACACCTGGCCCCAAAGGTTGCAAAAAAGACCCCCTGAGATAAACGCACAAAGCTGTGAGCCACGTGGGGAATGTTCTAGTGTGAGGCTGTGATATTTCAATGTTCCAGGACCATCTATACCCTTTTCTAGGTTAAGTCAGAAGGGAGACCTGTTCAGCCCCATCAATCCCTGTGGGTAACTAGACAGAAACATTTTCAAATTAAGGAATAAAGGAACAGAAATGACACGGGAGCCAGAAGCGTAAGGAATTTCGAGGTGGTAATACCGCGATGCTTCTGGTCAGGTCTTAGGACGTGGGGGCCCCTGGGAAGCTCTGAAGGGTCCCAACGCCACGGTCCCTTGTGTCCCTGGCTGGGTCCCATCCCTGCACTCCCTGTGGTGTCCCCGTCTTTGCAGCCTGTGTGTAGTTGAACCGCAGAACCATGTCCGCCTGCATAGGTCTAGTCTTCCCGATGCCAGGCCTCTCCTGGCCCCTGGATTCTCACACCGTGGGCCCTGCAGACCCGAGGAGAAAACCGCCCTGGGACTCACCGACCACGGTGTTGTAACCCTCCGGGAAGCTGGTGATGAACTCGTGGGCGTTGGCCTCCTGGGCGGCTGCGTACACCTCTTCGTCCGTGGCTCCCGGCTTCCCAAAGCGGATGTTTTCCATGATCGTTGTTCCAAACAGGACAGGCTCCTACGGATGGGGGATCCACATGGGACATTCTGACTTTGCCCCGAACCTCAGAGGGGTGCACTGGGAAGGGTGATTTTGGCTACACCAGAACTGCCCTCTTGGAGGGCGAGTAGGGGGAGTTCAAACTTACAAGTCAAATAAGAAAATCTATGAGTGTGTGAAGAGGCTGAGCTCCCCGCAGGGCACAGGGTCCCTGAGGAGTGGGGAGGGAAGGTGGCTGGGGGACCCATCTCTGGAGAGATGGGGTGGGAGTCTGCATTCTGGCTTTCTTCTGCAGGGGAAGGAGGTAAGGGTGCCTTCTGCACCCACTCAGAGGGAGAAGATGGACCCTTGCTGGGAAGCACCACCTCAAACAGAAGGAAAGGAGTAGGGCTGAGGGCTTCAGGTGGGGCCGTGGGGCCTTGCCTCTTGGGGGTGTGGGGGTCTCTCGACCTTCTGGACATCACAGGCTTATCAGAGAACCCAGGAATCCTCAAACAGCATCCCACCCCACCTGCTTGGATGGGTTTCGTTGAGAACTGGAGTTCCTGCCCTGGGGACGAGGGCAGGGCTGCGGGGGGCTGGCCCGGGGAAGCCTGAGATCCCCTGACCGCTGGGGGACCAGTGAAGAAGGCCAGAGCCTTCTCCCGCCCTGCCGAAGAGAACAGGGGAGACGGTCTGGGAGGTTAAAGACACATGTCCTAGGTGAGCCTGTGCGGAGGAAAGCCTCTCCTCTCCCCACCTGGCTGATGAAGCCGATGACGTGGCCCCGGAGCCAGGAGGGATCGAGGGTGCGCAAGTCCCGTCCATCCAGCGTCACTACACCCGCCGTGGGGTCATAGAAGCGCTCAAGCAGGGAAGCCACGGTGGTCTTTCCTAGGGAATTGGGGTTGGGAGATGGTGCGGTTACAGAAGCGGCATGGTTCCTGGACATTGTGACAGGAAAGGAGACCCCAGGGGAGGGTGAAGGGGCCCCCTCCTCCCCCTCACAAAACATAGCGGGGGATGGTGGTGGGTTCGTCTCACCTCCACCGGACTGGCCCACGAGCGCCACGATCTTGCCAGGGGGCAGGGTGAGCGTGAAGTCCTGTAGCACCTGGAAGCCGGGGCGGCTGGGGTAGCTGGAGCCGACAGAGAGCCTCAGTCAGACCGGGTTCCCGGCCCCATTCCACCCTGGTCTTCTCTCAAGTCTCACTGGACCTCGAGGGGGGCTCGATCCCAGGGGGAATGCCACCACCCCCACCGCCGATGCTGACCTGAAGCAGACGTCGTGGAATGCGATGGCCCCGCGCAGGTGCTCTTGGGGGACGCGGCAGCCCCCAGACAGCGGGATGCATGGACTCAGAGTCAGGTACTCGAAGACTCGGGCCCCCGCGCTGAGCCCCCGCACCACCTGGGGAGGGGGTTAAAGTCTGCGGTGAGGGAGCGCTGGGGTCTGAGGGAAGGGCCAGCAGCACTGTACCATCTCCCGGCCTCCTGCACGCAGGCTGGGTAGGGGCTTGGGGTGACCCCTCCGTCTGACACTGCCTTTCTTTTCTTTTTTTTTTTAAAGATTTCTATTTATTTATTTGACAGGTAGAGATCACAAGCAGGCAGAGAGGCAGGCAGAGACAGAGAGGAGGAAGCAGGCTCCCCGCTGAGCAGAGAGCCCCATGTGGGGCTTGATCCCAGGACCCTGGGATCATGACCTGAGCCGAAGGCAGAGGCTTTAACCCCCTGAGCCACCCAGGCGCCCCTGACACTGCCTTTCTGAAGCACACGGGTGACGCTGTTGCCATGACTCCAGCCCAGGTCTGATGTCCACAGCTGGGGGCCCGCCCCCCGACTGCCACTCACCTGGCCGAACAGAATGGAGAGGTTGGCCATGGACCTGTGAGGAAGAGAGGAAGGCTGACAAAAGGGGACACAAGCCCGAGAGAAGACCAGAGCCAGAGGGGAGGGTATGGGTCTCAGCTGCACTTGGCGGGGAGGCGGGAACAGGCAGCCTGAAGGCGAACCCTGAGAACGCTCCTGCAATCTGGGACGGCGGCAGCGCCGGGGCCCAGCAACACTAGACAGCTCGCCGGCAGGTCACTTCTCCTAGGAGCCTCACTATCGCCTGTTCCCTCCTCGGCCAGATGAGGCTGGCGGCTGTCACGGGCCTCAGGACTGGGACTCGGAGGGCGGCCCGTCCGCAGCGTGAAGGCCAGCCCCGGAACACGAGGGATGGTGCCGTCACCACGGGGCAAGGGCAGATCTAGCACGATGGGACTCCCAGGGGAGCAAGGGCTCATTAAGGTGGAAAAACAGACAGGAATCCTTTTCCAGAAAGGAAACCAAAGCTACTGGACCACGGGTGGGGTGCGGGGGAACTCTGGGGGGACCCCAAGACAAAATTCCAGAGACTCCTTAGTGTGGGCTTGCCCTGCGTGGGGCATGGCGCGAGCGTGTCTGTCTAGACAGAGGTCGCCTCCTCTGGCCTGCGGGGCCGTCAGCTGCTGGAAGGTGACTCACGCTTCTCGGTCACCAGCCCCTGACTGGGCCGGCCAGCCCGCGACAGTGCGCGTGCCTGTGAGTGTGCACGCGGGTCCTTCTCCAAGAGGAAAGACTGACTCTTGTGAAGAGGAAAGTCACTTCTTCCAGCTCCGGGGTGAGGAGTGGGAGGAGCCTGCAAGGAAGCGGTTCCGGCAGGCCCGCAGGGCTAGCGGCATTCGCCAATGTGAGCCCAGAGGCATCAGGCAGGCAAGAGCCAGGACAGTGAGCTGTCGGCGGATGAGAAGGGAAAACAAGCTGCATGAGAGATCTGGAAGCCATTATGGCCTGGCAGCGGCGCCCGGCAGCAACCAGAAACCCGATGCCCACGGCTCGGTGTGTGATGGCCTTGCTCTCCGAGAAGGCGCAGACGGCAGGCACGGGCTCTCCCAAGAGGCCTGGCGGGTGGGTGGCCCGTTCCCAGCAGGGTCCAGGCCTGGATGCAGACCAGGCGGCCTGACCCTGACTGGGGTCCGTCTGGATGTCCCCCATTTCTTCCAGAGACCCGGTGCCACAAAAAGAACACCTAGAATGGGCTCTCCAGGTTGAGGTTGCCTCTCTCCCCTCCCCGCCCCTGCTGGACCCCGGGAGGAAATACACCAGCCTCCTTAATAACGATAGACCTAATTCCTCTAAAGTGGAAGGTGAAGAGTGTCCAGGTGGCGATGGGCCCCCAGAAGGACAGGCCTAAGGCCTGTGGCTGTGGGAGCAGCTCCCTCTAGCAGCCCGAGAGAGGGAGTGCGGACAGACCGCCAGGCTTTCCTGTTCGTGATAAAGCCCTGCTAACGGGCGAGGCAGCGCAGTGCTGCGGGAAGGAAAAGGTCTGAACTCAGGCCATGGGGCGACACGGGGGCCCAGGAGAAAGCGGGTCTGGAGGAGGAGGGCCAGGCTTGGGAAAGGGAGGCCCCCCATCCCCACGCCCATGGAGGGCCATGTGGTGACGGTATGAATAGAACTAGTGGGGCTCATCGGGGTCCTCGGGACCAGAGCAAGAGGCCAGGGCTCAGCCTGGGGTCAGGGCCATGTCCCATCTCTACAACAGTCAGGAGCCTCTTAGTCCCCAGGCTGGAAGAGGGATGAGGCCGCTTGGGATCTGAACTTCAGAGAAAGTCTGAACGGGGCCCCGTTAGGGAGCACGGACATAAGCGAGGCCAAGGGTGGGGCTCCTGGGACGGGGTCCCCCTACCTGGGACGGTGAGGAGGCTGATGGTGAGGGAAGCTGGAGGCAACGGGCGGTGAGACACGACGCAGAGCCCGGCCACGCGTGTCATGAGCATCACGCGCCACGGGGACGGGCACGGAGGGCTGTCGGGGGCGATACTGTATTTCCTTGCTGTGGCTGACGGTAATGCCGGTCTCTACCCTTCAGTGATTTATTACAGCATATTCGCTCTTCAATTATTTATCATAACATCTAGTTGTGCTTCCCGTACTTTTATATATGCAGCGCGTGGGGGAGACGAAGGGATGAGAAACGGCAGCAGGAACCGCTCGTGTTTAGCTCAGAAGAGAAAGGGAAGGGGAGGCCTTGGGGCTCTTGTGCGAAGGGAGCCGAGAGCTCGGGCAGGCAGACCTCAGAGCCATGAACACACCGAGCTCCAGGGTGGGCAGGGCGGGAGAGGGGGTGAGCGTCCCGTCCCTGGGAAGGTCAGGCAGAGGACCGCAGGCGAGCTCTTAAAGAGCGAGGCAAAGACAGTCTATCCACACATGGGATCCTACTCAGCCTTAAGGAGGAAGGAAATCCTGCCGTGGGCTGTGCCATGGGCGCACCTGGGAGACGCTATGCTGAGTGAAACAGGCCCGTCACAGGACAACCACTGCGTCCGACTGCACTTGTGGGAGGGACTCAAAGTGGGCAGAGCACAGAGCCAGAGGCTGCCCGGGGGCCTAGTGGTTAACGGGCCCAGCCCTTCAGGTCTGCAGGACGAAGGAGGGCTGGTGGCTGACGGCGTGACGTGTGCAGAACACTACCTACGTCTACGCTGAAGACGGGTCAAGAGGGTACATTTTACGTTACGTGCATTTTGCCACAATTCATCGTTTTAAAAAAAGCTATCATGAGCACTCCTGAGTGGTTTTAGGCGGCTGAAAAGGACAGCCGCGTTCCCTAACATCTGGTTGGTGCAGGACGCTGTGGGCGGGGGCTCTCAGCCCCTGTTCCCCTGAGGAAACTGGGCAGCCAGGGGCCGGGCAGCAGTCCCCAGAGCAGGCTGCCACCCCGTCCCGTGACCCAGCAGGCTCTTTCAGGAGGGGAACAGCCTCACACTCACCTCTGCACCGTCTGGGAGGCCACCAGGAAGGACATGAGGTCTCCCCCTGTCAGCTGCTGCCCAGCCACAAGGGAGCCCCCGATAAACAGGGTCCCCAGGACCATGCCTGCACGGGGAGAGGGCCATGTGGTTAGCACGGAAGTGACGAGGAGCCAAGGACAGAGCCCAGCCTAGGTGTCAGAGCCCAGGTCTAGTCCCTGCCGTGCCTCCCACTGACTGAAATGTCACGGAATCATTTCAGTGACGACTTGCCTTTGTTTCTTCATTTGGAAATGAGTGCGTGTGTGGGCGGGGGGGGGGCTCGGGCAGCTGGCACTGGACAGACGTCTGAAGGACACCAAGCACATAGAGAGCTGCCCCTTGCCTGCCTTGCTGGGACCGTCCTTTGCTGCTCCACGCTCATCCCCAGCCATGATCCGGTGCTCCCAAACCCTGGGGTCGAGGGCAGGGGGACTTGCTCACTCACAGTTGAAGGCGATGTTGGAGAGCCCCTGGAACAAGGCAATGCCTCGGCCTAGCTCCTCTGCCTTACAGCGGGACTCCTCCAGCTCCGCTCCATAGCGTCTGGGGAGAGAGGCCAAGCACGGCTATCAGGAAGCAGCCAGGTCGGGGTGCAGGGCTGGTGGGGTGCATTCGGGGAGTCCTCCCTGCTTTAAGACCTGCCCTGTCTGGGACTCACTCCTCCTCCCGGTGCTCCATGGCGAAAGCCCGCACAGTCCGAACATTGCCCAGGGCCTCATCTGCTACGCCCGTTGCCCTGGCAACCTGCAAGGAGTCCAGGAAGTAGACAGCGAGGTAGGAGCCCGGGAGGGATGGCAGGGCAGAGAGAAATGGGGCAGGTGGGGGGATGGGCAGGAATGCCGGTACCTGCTCCTGACACTGGCGAGACAATTTTCGGAGAGCTGAGCCCATCAGGGTGCCAACTCCCATGAGGGTGGGTGTGGCCACCATCATCAGCAGCGTGAGGCGGGGGGACAGCATGGAGAGGGACACCAAGCAGCCGGCCACCTGAGTGCAGCTTCGCAGCCCCTGGGGAGAGGAGGAAGGCAGGAAGGCCATTTGGCAATAGCACCTCGACGGGGGGACTTTACAAGGGTCTGCTGGCTACGGCGTTACCCTCTCACAAGGCCAAGGCCGTAGGTCTGAGCCCTGGGAGGCCAAAGGGCAGTCCACCCAGTCATAAAATGGAGCTCTTTCCCTACTAGCAGGCATGAAAGAGCTAGGTGAGAATGTCTACAGACCACAGCATCCTTCCCCCAGACAAATCCCAGTTGGCTTTGCTTTTTTGCTCGAGGAACTGAACAGAAAGAATTGAGTAGGGATGTCATCCGGGACTGCCATGGGCCAGTGTCCGGCGTGACCCAGCAGGCACAGTGACAGCGTGGGTGGATGAGGACAGGACATCAGCGATACAGTAAAAAGCCTTCACTCATTCCCCTTCACACTTGTCAGCATGCCAGGCACTCTGGGAGTAAGGCAGGCCAGGGTGATTTTGCTCTTGGCAAGCTGGTCCAGGAAAGCTCTTGTTTGAGTCCTTGGGAAGGTTTTCCGGGGAGGTAGAATTTCAGAACAGGAGAGAAACAGCCTGTCCTGACCTTGGACGATGCCACGGCACCTCCCTTTTGTGAACTTCCCCATTCCCTCACCCACACCCTCCGCAGACAACAGGCTTCTCACTTGGTATGAGCCTAGGCTCAGGGCCCAAGAGCAAGGCAGGACAGGGCTGCCTGGTGTGTCGGCCCTAGACAGAGTGCGTGTGTGTGTGTACACACGGGGGGCCCGGGGGGCTGACCTGGGAGATGACGAGTTTGAAAGATGATTTAAACTCCTGCACATCAGTTGTCACCCGGCTCACCAGCTGCCCAGTCTTTAAAGCATCAAAAAAAGCAATGTCTTGTCTGATGGTAGGTCAAGGGTGCCGGAGGTCAGGAGGAAGAGAGAGACAGAGTTCAGGCTGAGCCGCCCCCCCTCCAGGCCTTCAGCCACCCTGAACCACACCCCGGAGGCGGCCGTACCGGAGTAGGTTGCTGAAGAGGGCCCTCCTCATGTCCACGGCCATGCGCTCGCCGATGCGTGACAGCAGCACCAGGTACCCGAAGGTCAACAGCCCCTGGGAGAGAGGCCGGGGAACTCAGGACGCCTGGGTGGCTCCTCTGGGTGCCCCCAGGCCCTCCCCGGCGCTGTACCTGAACGCCATAGAGGATGAGCAGGTGGGTGCTGAGATGCCGGGACTCGGTCAAGAAGCTCCCCACGTGGTCCCGCGTGTACTTGGCCACGATCTCCACCAGTTGGCCCAGAAGCAGGGGGATCTGCACATTCACGAGGGCCGCACCCAGTGCCAGCTTGGGGAGTGGGGGAGACTTTAGAAGGGGCCGTCTTCTTCCCCATCCCTGGTCCTGACCTCGGTGCTGCCTCCCCTGCAGCTGCTCATGCTTTGGCTGCTTCCGTGCTTCTCTGAGATGGCTGAGTTAGAGCCCAGGCTGCCAGCCCTTGGGGACCCCGTACCCTGCACACCCAGCTGCTCTGCGGAGGAGCTCCCGGTACCCCCGGCTTCCAGTCCCCGAGGCCAGCCAGCCCTTGCTGCTTCCTGGGGTCTAGTCGGAGACTTGGTGAGGCAGACAAGCTGTGCCCAGACAGCTCGCCAACCCCCTGAGCGGCTCCTCCCCGATCCCAGACGTGGGGGAAAGGACAGGGGCATCTCACCATGATGGCTGCCCCTAGGACCAGCAGGTGGGGGCGCAGAAACTGCCAGAAGAGCTTCCAGTTAAAGCGGGCCTCCCCGGCACAAGGTCTGGAGCAGGGGGGCGGGGCCTCTTCTGCCTCACAGAGCACCACGAGGCCAAGGCGGGGGCACTTACTCAACACCACAGGGCCCAGAAGGACTCCCCCAACCCAGCGCCAGGCACAGGGTCTTCGGCTGGGAGGTGGAGGTGCTCGAAGGAGGTGGGCCCGGAGCCGGGACCTCAGCTGGGCTGCGGCCCTGAGGAGGTAGGAGCTGTGGCGGCCATGAGAGGACCTGCAGGGAGAGAGCAGCATGGACGGCTCAAGGCCCCGACTGTCCCTCAGAGGAACGCAGACAGACCAAGCAGGGGGGACTGAGACAGCAGCCTGTCATCTCCCCATGACACAGTGGGGCCTGCTCAGCGACCATCTCCGACCCATGCCTTTTCTGATCACAGGATATGTTGGATGGCGGCTATAGGCGCTCCTTTTCCAGATGGAGACGCAGAAGTCCCGGGGGAACCCGGCTCGGAGAGGCAAGACGGGGAAAGCGTCTCCCCTGTGCCTGGCGCCGGGCCGGCAGAGCAGTCCCCCCGTCCTGCCTCCACGGCCTGCTGTGTTTAATCCTCCACTCCCGGGGAGGTAGCTGCCTTTCCCCTCACTTGATAAAAGAAAATGTCACGGGGGCTGAGGGAGCTGGAATACTTTGTCCCCCAGCAGCAGAACGGGGACAAGAGGAGACCCCTGCTGTGCCATTCCAGAATCCAGGCTTGTTCTACTTGGCCACGTATGCAGTGACCAAGGCCATGTGTGGCAGAGCCTGGGCCTGCCCCATGTTTTCTGCAGGTCTGGGTTCAACACAGCCCTCACCCTGGCTCATCCCAGGCCTTGAGCGCTTATGTGACAACGCATGGGGGGAAATGGCGACACATTCCCTATCAGCTGAAGGAGAAAAAAGAAATAATCCAAATGATAGATCTTGTCACCTCAGGCTAAAATCACCTTCTCTGTTCCATGGTTCCCATATGGATCCATGGCCATGCCGAGCTGAGTGCCTACTGTATGCCAGCGCTCTGCTGTGAGGCACTGGGAACAGGGATAAACGGGACAGACCCTGTGATCACCCTCACTGAGGTTAGGTTTTAGTGGGGAGGACAAGCAGCTAGTGACAAAGCTTGCTGAGTGTGGGAAGGGGCACGACAGGGCCCTCAGGGAGCAGAGAGCACGCCCTTGTCTGAGGGAGTCAGGAAGGCCCTCCTGAGGAGGCTGAGGGTGAATGGGAAGGAGCTGGCCAAGTGAAGGCAGTGCAGCTGTGTGTGTGTGTGTGTGTGTGTGTGTGTGTAGAGAGTAGGGAAGAGCTCTAGGCAGCAGGAAGCGTGTTTGGAACAGATGCAGGTAGGGAAGATGGAAAACGACAGGAACAGAGAAGCTGAAGCCTGAGGTATAAGGGAGAAGAGGCGTGGCGTGGCGTGGGCGGGGCGCAGGCCTCCCAGTCCTTTGAGAACACCTGGACTTTAGAGGGCAATGGGGACCATGGTGGGGTGGGGGGCACTTAGGCTGAGGTATAACATAACCCAACTTATATCGTTAAGATCATAGCAGAGAGGAGAAAGCTGGAGAGGGACAGGATCTTCTAACAAGAAGCAGAAGTTACCTGGCCAAGGGTATATGGTGGGATGCTCAAAGATTCAGATAAGGTTGGGGCACCTGGGTGGTGCAGTCAGTTTAGCGGCTGACTCTTGGTTTCTGCTCAGCTTATGATCTCAAGGTCCTGGGACCGAGCCCCATGTGCTGGGCCCCATGCGCTGGGCTCCATGCTTGGTGGGGAGTCTGCTTAACGATTCTTTCTCCTTCTCCCTCTGGCCCTCCCCCCCATTCGTGCATGCTCTCTCAAATAAATCTTAAAAAAAAAAAAAATTCCCTTTGGGGGGAAAAAAGATTCAAATGACCTTATTGATGAGGGGGCTTTTAAAAAATGAACAGAGGGGCGCCTGGGTGGCTCAGTGGGTTAAGCCTCTGCCTTTGGCTCAGGTCATGATCAGGTCCTGGGATCGAGCCCCGCCTCAGGCTCTCTGCTCAGCGGGGAGCCTGCTTCACCCCAAACTCTCTGGCTTCCTCTCTGCCTACTGGTGATCTCTGTCAAATAAATAAATAAAATCTTTAAAAATAATAATAAAAAATGAATAGAATGAGGTTTTCCCTTTACTCTGATAGTCTGTCATATTTTCGGGTACTGCTAACCGCATCTCTCCCTCATCCTTCCCTTGTTCCAGGGAGGCCTGGGTGGCTTCTTACCACCTCTTATTATGCCTCCTTCCATCCCATTCCAGCTGCCCAGTTTTTATGTCTTGTTTTCCACTGTGTACTTTAGGTCTATCTTAAATTTTAGACAGGGAAGCTCACCCTACTTCCGATTTCCCCATTAGACTTTACATTCCTTGAGGCAGGAACCTCTATTCCATTCATGTTGCATTCCCAGCACTTAGCAGAGCTCTTGCACATAGCAGATGTCCAGCAAATGCTTCTGTTTGTTGAGTGCATGCCCTCATTGGAAAGGCAGAAGAGAAAAATTTGGCCTGACCTGCTACTGTACTGTTTGCAGTTTCAGACTTATTGAGGCCAACAATAAGAGGTATGTTGTGCATTGCCACCCAGGACAATAAACATGTCAGACAAAATTGAAATGTTTCACAAAACAATACTTTCCCTAATTTGTTGTGCATGTATTCTATTATATTCACTTCTTAAAAAAAAGTTTTTTGAAGATTTTATTTGCTTGAGAGAGAGAGTGAGAGAGAGAGCATGAGAGGGGGGAGGGTCAGAGGGAGAAGCAGACTCCCCGCTGAGCAGGGAACCCGATCCCAGGACTCCAGGATCATGACCTGAGCTGAAGGCAGTCGCTTAACCAACTGAGCCACTCACTTTTTTTTTTTTTTTTAAAGGTAGGCTCCACTCCTGGCCTAGGGCTTGAACTGACGACCCTGACATCAAAAGTCACATGCTCTATAGGCGTCTACTATTATATTCACTTCTAAATGGTCCTGACCTACTAAATTTGTTTTATGATCTCTTGTTGTGACTTGCATGTTTGAAAGACACTGCACTTGTGAACACACAAATACTTGGATGTTATTTGATGTCTTTTCCTGGGTTTCTCTCTGGTTTAAATGATATCAACCCCTAACTCTTTTCCTAAGGACTGTTTTCAAACTTTTTAATAATTCACCATGGCTACCTTCCAGCTTCTCTCATCTTCTCCAAACTAAGACTCTAAGCAGGGCTTGGTCACTGCCAAGGACTGGCGGATTACTTCCCGGCAACAGTGCTTCTAGCTCCGGCCTGGCCCGGCTCCTGCTCCCTTTCAATCAGATAGGCTTTCCAAATGACCCAAGTTCACATCCAGCCACCACCGCCAGTCGGCTGCCTGGTTATTCACTCCAGGATGCGAAAGGAATCAGTCCTTTCTCATAAAGCATTTACACTGGAGCCGTAGTTTCAGGGTCCACGTTCCTTTCCTCCCTGCGTGTGTCTCTCTCTTTGAACCAGCATGTGTAGAGGGAACACACAAGAACACACATGGACGCGTTTCTAGATTGACTTTATCTCTGCTGAACGTATCCAGATTTAGGAACCATTTATGTTCAGCTCATATTGAATCTCGGGAGCAGCACCAATACTAAATGTCTCTGGACATTCATAATTTTTGTCCAAATTGCCCGACCAATTCCAAGAACCAGGACAGGAAGGGGGCAGGAACGGCGGCGACCCCAAGGCTCAACAGGTGCGGCATGGCGCCCTCTGGTGGGAAGTACGGACCTGGTGTGGTCACCGACCTAGAGCGTGCCCTCCGTCCAGCCCACACACGGATACAGACGCACCGAGTCTCCGGCTGGCACCTGGGTCGTCGCTATAAATAATTGAGACCAAGCCCCGGGGAGTGACATTCCACCCACGGGCCGGCCTACAACTTCCGGCAGGCCTCGCGCGAGTCCGGGACTCCATCTCCCGGCGGGCCCCACGGACGGCCCGCCGGTCAACGGCCCGCGCTCCTAGGAGCTTTGTCACTTTTTACCTGACGGCCGAGAATGTCTGGAAGCAGAGGGGTGGTAGCAGCCTGCCCGGGACAGGGCCACCCCGAATCCCGACCCGAAATAAGTGCACCAACATGATGGGACGAGACTACACGAGCAGCCGGCAACGGCAGTTTCACCCTCATCCCATTGAGGGCTCCATGTTGGCTCCCGCCCCCATCCCGACAACCCCTTCGCGCCTCGGCGACTACTGGCGGAAAGACGCGTCAATCCCTCCGAAAACTGTGATTGGAGGAAGCCTTTTCGGTCCTCCTCCTTCCGGAACTGTGATTGGAGACAGCCGCCTGCCTGCCCGCCCAGGCTGGGCGGGGCTGATCAGGTGGGGGCATTGCCTCGCGTCCACTGCCGGGGTCAGCTCTGGGGTGACCTTACAAGTGTGTGACCGGGGCCCCCCTCCGCGGTGGGGTATCCATAGTAACGCCCCAGCCGCTGACCTCGGGGCTGTTCTATGGGTGCTGCCGGCGGACTCCAGATGTCCCGGGGTCTCCAAGGAGTGTAGAGTGCCGGTCCTCGGGGAGGAAGGGACGAAACTGGGGAATTTTTTCAAAATATCTGCACGCTCCTTGTCACCCGCCCCTTTCTCCCAGGCAGGTCAGAGTTCCAGGGGCGGCAGCCACGTGTATTTGGGAAAAAACTACCCTGATGATTCTGATACACGTCCCTTAATTAATGATTGAGAACCACTAGTGTGGACGTCCTGTATAGCTTATGGAGGCGCAACACCAGATCCTCCCCCCCCACCCCCATAGATGCCTTCCTCACCGCAGTCAAGTGACTTGCCTAAGGCTCCCACCGCACAGTTCTGTATCTCTGTTGAGCATTATTTCTTCTGTGTGATTTTTTGCATAGCTACAGCCCTCATGGGCTGTGATTTCTTTCTGGGTAGTGGCTCCTCATTTATCCATACCCTCCTTCCCCTCCAAGTGCCTGGCAGAGAAAAGTGCCCCCTCTTTTAAAAAAGATTCTGTTTATTTATTTGACAGAGAGAGATACAAGGAGAGAGGGAACACAAGCAGGGGGAGTGGGAGAGGGAGAAGCAGGCTTCCCGGTGAGCAGGGAGCCCGATGCTGGACTTGATCCCAGGACTCTGGGATCATGACCTGAGCCGAAGGCAGATGCTCAATGACTGAGCCACCCAGGTGCCCTGAAAAGTGCCCTTTTTATAATAAATTCACTTGAATTAGGGTGTGATAGGGAGGCTGTCCATTGATGAGTCTGGGCTGGAACTGGGCAGAAGAAGGTGCCAGATTAGCTTGAAGTTAGGCTGGGAGTATGGGAGGGATCCTAATATGAGTGTGGTGGAATATTGGGGTGAGTGAGGTTGAGGAGAGATCAGGCAAAGCCTACAAAACTCACCCTGGCACCTGTCTCGGAGAGATGGGAATTTCCTAGCCGCTCTGCAATGCGGGATTCCATCTTGGGCACTAGGATACCCCCTCCAGAAGGAGGGAATCTCATTTTCATAGCTCTGCCTCCTGCGGCTCAGGGATAAAATGATGCAAGCCCTGAGCTACTATAACAATCCCCATCCCTGGAAGGCAGCACAGGAGAAAAACAGGCGTGTCTGGACTCCCATTTTGTGGGCAATTCCATGATTGCCACCACATTCCTCCAGTGAACGCTCCTGACACACTTTGTTTCTCTCTCTATTTCATGGATACTGTCCCCTACAACAGTCCTCAGGCCTGAGCCCCAGAGGCCCTGACACCTGGGTGGCTGACTCAGCACCTCAGGAATGGCGTTCAGTAGGAAACCTGGTGATTCAGGGCCTCAGGAATGGCGTCGGACATGCCAACAAACTAGCTGTCTCCTCCTCCTCGTAGAAGTGGCAACAAGGAACTCAACTCAGCCAGCTCATGCCTGGGTATTCAAATTACCCTTCCAAACCCCATCCCCCCAGCTGCCCTCTGCTGGTTCAGCTCTGATGCTGCTCACCGCCCCCCCCAAAACTGGATCAGGACTGGGGGTGAGGGTTTTCGGTGTTGAACGGGATGAAGAAAAAAAAAAATAGAACGCCAAGGAGACTTTGCTAGTGTAAGCTCTCCAAACTGCTTCCCATATCCAGGATAGCTGCCTCTCCGTTCTCCTCTGCCTCCCCCTCCTCAAGTTTCCTCCAGCCTGGCTGCGAAGGCGGGCAGTCTCCCCTCTTCCCTTCATACCACCAGACAAACGGAACACCATCTCTTTCCTTTTTCTTCTTTTTGCTTTTGGTCTTAAAGCATTTCTCTGTTGATCTTTGTGGAGTACGTTGGGGGAAGGGAGAGAAGATTTTAAGGAATCAAAGATTTAACATCTCGGCCTTATAGTCTTATACTCCTCTGATAGGAGTTCCTTTTTGCTGTGTTATTTTGGCTGCTACTCTCTGGCCTTGCCTTTAAACCCACTCGAGGTCTGGGGAGGGGACAATTGGTGGTCAGTTGGGGGACAGTTCTCTGGTCTGCAGTATCTTTAGCCCCTGCCTCTTCGGCTTACACCCCTCCCAGGCACAGAGGCTTGGCCCTGAGCCAGTTGGCCGCAGATTGCCCTGGAAGGGTTGTGAGTGGTCAGACAGGTGACTGCGAGCTGGGACGCCTGAGGCCTGCCCCGACTGAGTCACTGCGCTGTTGTTGTCACTATCCTTGTTGAAGTCCCTGCTCAGCGCCCCAGACCTCTGTGGAAGCAGCGGCAGCGCCTGTCCTTCCAAGCTTTCCAGAGAAGCTAGTGGTCTGATGGTGAGGCGAGTGGGCTGGGGGGGGAGCAGAGGGCGTCTGGGGCGGTGGGGAGACCTGGGCCCTGGATCGGTGCCTCTCCTCCCCATGCCGCTGCCTCCTCTTCCTCCTCCTCCATGTCGGGGGCCTGGCGGAGGGAGGATTTCCATCTTCTCTCTGTCCCCTGCCCCTCACACAAGAAGCTCTCCTTCCTCAGCTCCCCCTCTGGCCCTGGGACCCCCCTGCCCAGCGGTGCAGGCCCCAGGAGCCTCTCAGCCTCGCCACAGTGCCCTCCCCACCCCAACAACACAGGCACAGTCCACGATATCCCCCACCTCTGCTCCCCCCTCTTGGGGCTCTCACTCCGCCCCACCCCTGGCCTCAGTGACTCCCCCTCCCTCACGCCGATGCCCCCAGGACCCTCCTGGGCTGCGGATAGGCCCTCTGATCCCTGAGCAGGATTATGAACGGCTGGAAGACTGTGACCCTGAAGGGTCCCAAGATTCACCCGTCCACGGGGAAGACCAGCAACCCCTGCTCCACGTGCCCGAAGGGCTCCGAGGTAAGTGTGGGTGCGGGGCTGTGAGGGGAGTGTGTTGGGGAAGGACTGGGGCTCCTGAGGGTGTGAACTGGTCACTCACGGGACAGCCAAGTCCCAGCAGTCTCTCCTCTGTACCCAGGTTCCTGGCACCACATCCAAAATCTGGACAGCTTCTTCACCAAGATATCCTTTGTGCTCGGCCTGGCTTCAGTGGCATGGGGTTGGGGGGGGCGTTCTTGGCAGGGAGGCTCTGAGCATGCTGTTTTGGGGGACTGAGGGAGGGGTTCTCAGGAAAGGGCCGTCATGCCTCAGGTTTATTTCTTGACGCACCGCCACGTCTACAGCTATCATCAGAGGAATGGTTTTGCCTGCATCCTGCTGGAGGATGTCTTCCAGTTGGGGTGAGATGCTTGTCCCACCCCTAAGCTCTGCCGTCTTGCTTCCTCAGTAGTGTCTGCTTTTGGTCCACCCAGCACAGCCACTCCCCCCAACCCCCAGCAGCCCAGGGGGGCTCCGCAGGGTGGGGAGGACCCCCCAGGGCTGGCCTGGAGGCTGACGACTGTGCTCCTGTCTCCCAGACAATTCGTCTTCATTGTCACCTTCACAACCTTCCTCCTTCGGTGTGTGGATTACAACATCCTCTTCGCCAACCACCTGAACAACCGGACGAGACCTGGGTTGCTCCACAACAAAATAACCTTGGCTGATGCCATCCTGTCCTCCTCCCAGTGTGCCCAGCGGTGAGTGACAGCTGGTTGGGGGAGTGGCTAGGGGAGATGAGCAGGCAAGAACCGCCCCCCCCTCCCAGTCCTTTTGTCCCTTGGTCTGAATCAGCAGTTCTCCAGGTTTTGGGTCTTTAATACTTTAGAGGTACACCTTTAATACACTTGAACTTGATCAGGAACACCCAAGAGCTTTTGTTTATGAGAATCGTATCTATCTATATTTACCTAATTAGAGATTAAAGCTGAGAATAACTTTACAAGCTAAGAGTGCAGAAACACACATTCCATTGGCTGAAGACATGGGGTCACACACATAACCTCTGGAAAGGCCCATTGTACCCTCCTGAGGGAATGAGCGTGAAAACGACAGAAAGCCTCAGTGTTCTGGAAAAAGTCTGGACCTTGCAGATACCTGTAAGGGCTCACGGACACCTAGGGTGTACACTTTGAGAACCACTGGTGTAGCTAGGTCCCCCTCTCTGTGACTTTTCCATCTCTCCCCAAGTCTGGTCTCCCTTTCTATTGGGCCCCCACTTTCCCACTGCCATCTGTCCCACCCCACACAGGATCCGCTCCAGCCCCCTGCTGGTCTTCTTGCTGATCCTGGCTGCAGCCTTCTGGCTGTTACAGCTGCTTCGCTCAGTCTGCAACCTGTTCGGCTACTGGGACATCCAGGTGTTTTACAGGGAGGCCCTGCACATACCCCCGGTGAGCTGGGTGGGAGAGGCTGCAGACAAGGTGTGTGTGTCTGGGGGTCCTGTTGGGGGAGGGGGATAGGCAGAGACTAGGGGAGGAGCGGAGGCTGGGCAGGCAGAAGAACCCAGTGGAACACAGGCATGTGCCCAGGCCCTGAGTAATGTTAGGAGGGGGCGGACCACCGCTTAGAAAACATGGTCCTGACCCCAGTGGAATTTTGTTGATTTAGTTAGGTTATAGAAGATATATATAGTCACATGCTTGTGGTTAAAACAGTAGGTATTCAGAGGAAGGGTGGCCATCTGGCTTTACAGGGCAGAAGGAATTTGGGTGAGGCTGGCACGGCTAGGAAGTGGGAAGGCATTCCAAGCCCCAGTGCCGGAAGTGGGCAGCAGTGAGATGGCCCCATCAGCCCGCCTCTGAGTGTCCGGCCCCCCTCCGGGGATCGCACGCCCCCATCTGGCCTCACTCCCTAATTGCAGTGAGCCACGGTGATGACTCGGTCACGCTTGGC